TTTTAAAAAAATGACAGAAGCATAAAAAAATTAAAAGAGACAAAAATGCCAACAATTACTTGAAAACAAAGATAAGATAATGAGGCAGGGAAACTAGAATAACCAGAGCACAAGTAAAGAGAATATTGACACATTGTGGGAATGTAACTAATGTCTCTGAATGAATAATCTGTGTGGTCGTTGTTGTTAAGTGTTAAGAGAAAGTTGACACATTGTGGGAAATGTAACTAATGTCTCTGAATGAATAATCTGTGTGGTCGCTGTTGTTAAGTGCTGTCAAGTGGGTTTGGACTCATCGTGATGCTATCTAGGGTTTCGGAGGAGCATGTGGTGGGTCAAATCGACCTTGAGGTCCAGTGCTTACTCTATAATGTCACAGTAGGACTCCAGGATAACCTACACAGAAATGATCAAATGGGCACCTAATTTGCTGAGAAAACCCATTGCGCTTTCACTGGAAACACAATGAAGTATTATTTTAGAAAATTCTCCCAGCATAAAATAGTTGGAATCAGGTGTAAATCCTGATTTGGGTATAATAACTGAGAATTAAGTACACAATTTTAATTATCTGTATAATTTTAGAAACATTTTAAAAAGGATAATCAAAGACTCTACTATCTTAAAAAATAGTATCAATATTTCTTATAAGCATTATATGCTTAAAACTTTTGCTTATTAGATATAAAACTCATTTGCTTAAGATATTCTTTAAAATGAACATTCTTAACAAAGGTTTTTTGGCCCATAGTTAAATTAATACACATCCTCTCTTTAAGATATTTTATATGGTTAATTCAAATATGATTAAATAAATGCAAAATGTAACCTGTTCAAGATGAAAAAGGACATTTGCTATATCCAAAACTCGTTCTACTGTCTTCTCTGGATCTGAAGTCTCTTCGGTCCTGTTAGGTAAGTCTTTGTAAAGAGCCATCTGCCATCTAATAGCAGGATCCTCTAACTGCAGAAAACAGGGGTGCGGGGGGAGGAATAACAAAATTCAAGGTTAGAATCTACAAAGGGGCAGACTTACTTCTAAAGAGACAATCAAAAAATAGGCCACTTTTAAAACACTGCAGAAATCAACAAAGACAACATGTTTACACTCAAGGAATTTATTATCTGGTAAGAAACATAGGCATTAAACAAACATGTGCAAATGTTATTAGGACTGCTAATAAGTAATGGACTCCAAGTGTGGCGTTGTAGGATAAGCAAACAGACTGCGAACCAAAAGGTCTGCAGTTCAAACCCACCAACTGCTTCTTGGAAACCCTGTACGGGGCCCCTATGATTTGGAATTGACTTGACAACACTTAACAACAACAACACAACAATAAGGAATAGAAAGGAGACTGGTAGCTTAGTGGGCTGCAAGGTCAGCAGTCTGAATCCCCCAACCACTCTGAGGGAGATGATGAGGCTTTCTGCTCCCTTAAAGATTTACCTTCTCAGAAACCTTATACAGCGTCGCTATGAATGGGAACAGACTCAACAGCATACCACCAGCAGTTAAGAGGTAGGAGGTACCTCAGCTGGTGGTGGTTGGGAAGAGTTCCCTAAACATGTGCAGTTTCATCTAGAACCTAAGGCTGACTTGAACACAAAACAATTCTTATCTTTTTCTTCTTCTTTCACAAAGTGTTAAAAGATTTATGTATTTATTCTTAGAGGCAATTACGTATGATTAGATTTATCGATACATGGAGGGACTCTACAAAAAAGAGTTTTTACTCTCACTGAATCAAATATATTAAACAGTGAAAATCAATGAAGGTTTCTATATACAGCAGTCTCCAATGTACCAATATCCAACTTGCAGCCAACATCTATTTGCCCTTTAACATCATGTAAATTTCTCTCACTTTGAAATGACTGAGCCAACTTCTACCCCACCAAATTCTTCATCACAATCACTTTCACTTGCTGCATGTGCAAGCTTTTAAATCATTCAAAGGTTTTGAACCTTTTCTTGAACTAAAATAAGAACTATATGCACACGGTTTCGGAGTCGTGGGGTGGAACTGAATGATATGCACTGCACTGCTACAAGGTATGTGGTTCAAACCCACCAGCTGCCCCTAGGAAATCTTATAAAGGGTTGCTCTGAGTCGGAGCTGGTGCCCTTAACAACAAACACCAGTTCTCACTTACCTACAAACTGACTCAGAGACACGCTCAAGAATGATCTCATATGTAACCCAGGGCTGCTGGTAATCATTGTTGTTGTTGTTAAGTGCCGTTGAGTCGTGTCCGACCCATAGCGACCCTGTACAGGGTTTCCGAGGGTGTAAATCTTTACGGGAGTAGAAAGCCTGATCTTTCTCCCGCGGAGCAGCTGGTAGTTTCGAACCGCTGACCTTAAGGTTCGCAGCCCGATTCGTAACCACTACGCTACCAGAGCTATCTTATAATAAAATGATGCATTTTACTTTCTAATCCTGCCAAATTTTCTGAGTGAAAACATAACTGAAGCCTGCATGTTTTCAAGAAAGAAACACAAATATAAGCATCTTAGCAGGAGTTTTAATTTAGAATTAGCTGAGGGTGAGAAATTACCTTTACTCTTCCTTCTTTAAAATATCTACTACAAACAGGAGATCAAGATTTATGAAGTAGACTCAAATAAGAAAGAGCTAAAATTTCATTATTACCAGTCAGAGATAATACTGATTCAAATTTCAAAAAGTAAGAGATAAATGTAAGTATACATTATGTAGTTAAGTGCTGCCGAGTGGATTCTGACCCATAGTGGTCCAGTTTAGGGTTTCCGAAGAGTGGCTGGTGAGCTTAAACTGTCAACCTTGCAGTTCAAACTGACTTTGCAGTTCAGTGCATTAACCCACAGTGCCACACAGGACTATATGTATATTCAAACATAAGTATATAAGAAATTTACATACTTTTAATAAGGAGCCCTGGTAGCATACTGGGTTATGAGTTGGGCTGCTAACCAGAAGGTCAGCTAGTCAACTCTTAACAGCAAGAGAAAGATACAGTTTTTTGCACCCACAAGAATATACAATCTATTCGAAACCCTATACAGGGTAGCTGCGATATACAATCTTTGAAACCCTATACAGGGTCACTATGAGTCAGAACTAACACCAGAGTACACAACCAACCCCACCGCCATACACTTAATGACAAAATAAATACCATTTGTTTTTAAATAAAGCAAAACGCTTTTTCTCCAAGTATTTTTTCATCTTAGGATGACGTCTTGGTACATTTTTACACATTCTTACCTATCTTTGGCAAAACAGTAAAATATTTTTCTGTAATCGCTCATCCTCAACTCCATTACTATTCTACCCACAATTTCAATACAATGGATGGAAGAAGTAGCTAGGAACAAAGAATTCATCTTTTGCAACTTGGTACATCTCCATAAGTGCACATAACTCATAACAATGTATAGATCGAAATGTTAAAAAAAAAAAATATATATATATATACACACACACACATATATTACCTCTTTATTTTCAAGTCTCTCATTAGAAGGTGAAATACTGACTATAAATGTGTTTCCTTTTCTGCCTCGCCTTCTCCCCAACACATAATATAAATTGCCCATACCATTTCTATATGTGATCTCTAGAGAATAATTAAACTCTTTATGCTAATCTAAGAAATAGATGGCTTTATTTGATCATTTCCTAAGACAGGTGAACTCCTTCCTAAGAGGTACTGAACATTTCCTATCACAACTCAGCAGTGTGGCGCTGGAGGATCAGCACTGGACTGTGAACCACAAAGCCAGCAGTTCAAACCCACCAGCTGCTCCTCAAAAACCCTATATAGGGTCATAATGCATCAGAATTGACTTGATGGCACTTAACAACAATTACACTCAGTAATAGGAAGAATGGTGGCTTCATATATAAGCCCTGCAGCTGCTCCGAGGTAGAACAATGAGGCTTTCTGCTCCTGCAAAGATTTAAAGACTTGCAAACCATATACAATGTCGCTATGGGTCAGAACCAACTCAGTGGGATATAACAATAGCTCAGTAGTACTGTGTACCAGATAAAGGTTCTCAAAGTGTGGTTTGTGTCCCCTGGGGGTCCTTGAGACCCTCTCAGGGGTATGTATTATCTCCTTAAAAAATCTGTATATGTAAAACAAGTATCCAAACAACAACCACCACAAATATTTGGTGTCTCCCCATAAAAGGCAATAAAGGCTTTAGTATAAATTAGTCACTGTTAAACTGCATTCAAAATCTGTTTTTGGTATTTGAATACAGGTTTTTAATAGGAATTCATCTCCAAAAGGCAATACTAAATTTATGAGTGAGTACACATCAAAGCTCACCTGAAATTTGATCTCAAGATGCATTTGTACACTGTGACCATTGTAAAGGCATGTCTCGCTTTTGTCATATCACATTCCAAAGTGCTCAGTGAAAATTAATAGCTTGGAAATTTAGAAAGTGACATTTTAATACTCAGAAAGACATGCATTGTATTGTGCTTATCAGTTTTTGACATGTGACATTTCATTTTTTAAAAAATAACCAAATGGATTCCAGAATCAAAGTAAATGGACCAAGTCTGAATAGTGAGCCCTTAGCCTAAAATGAAATGACCAGTTCTGGGAGAAAACAGGTAATTTATTTACTGGTATGGAAAAACCTCCAAATAATAGTTAATGCTAACTGGACTGAAAAATTGACTTCTGGCAAATCTTTCTCCCATCATTAAAATGTACATGCTACATGTGTACTCCACTCCTTGGGTAAACTCATTTACTTGTTTTACAGAGATTCTTATTATCTCCTATGTACTAGTGACTTTTAAATATATATATTTAATGGCAGAGCATGAAATGTAAATTTTTAATTTCTTTTGAACACCCACTTGCATGTCCCAAAGACCACAAATCAACTATACAAAGGGCAAAACCAAGATTTATTTTAATTGATGACAGATTGTTTTAAACTGTATTGGTAAGAAAAAGGCCACAATTTTGCAATGAGGTTTTTTGTTTTGTTTTGTTTTCCATCACAAAGCATCTACTCAGTCTTCAAGGATAGCAAGGGCAATACCACAAAACTTTCACAGACAAACCTTACCCCATCTACCCTATAGCCCTGATATTGTCACTTCAGTCATCTGTTCCCAAAATTCAAAGAACATTTCAAAGGAACACGTTTGAGTCCTTTGAGGATGCTAGAACTGCCATTTTGATGGGGTGTAAATTGAAGAGGGCAGAATTCTTCAGGGAAGGGCTGGAGTGACACAAACATTGTCTTCAGAAGCATACAGATCTTGAGATATCTTAAGAAATCACAGTTTCACACATTGAGATTCTCAATTAATGAAAGTTGCTATAATTTTTAGCAATACTTTTTGACTTACCCTCATAAATGTACATATGTACACATTTGTAAACATATGTACTATATATATAATATGTAAACCAACACACATTTACTGTTGTATACACACATATACATATATACATACTGTTACTTATACATATATGCACTAAATATGTGTTAGAGTAAAATTCAGCTTACCTTGCCTTGTAAATGAATATTACTGCGGATTATATCTCTTACTTCATCCTCGGTGTCTTTCTGTCAAAAAACAAACATCACCTAACGGAAGCCTTAAGTCAATGGTCATAAATAAATGAAAATAATACAAAATTCTTTTGAAACAGTGTGTATATATGAACAAACCTCTAAGAGATTCAAGTATGTTTCACAGATTTTGGGGAGCTGTCTTTCAGATACCTTCTTGATACTATTGTGACTTGAATCAACCAATTCTAACTCCACAGTAAGTGCATTAAGACTCAGTGGAAGTCAGTTTCTAATCCATGATTCATAAGAAGAAGAGAGGCAGACACATGGGTGCCCTTAGGAAAGACAATTATATCTCCAGTAGTCTCTCAATTCTCCACAATGCTCTTGTAACAAGCCCTTGATCCAGTAATAGCAAGGAGCATATATCTGTGTGTTCAATCTCAGACAACTCTAGTGATTCTCTATCGGTGTGGAAGCTCCCGGAGAACATGCCTTCTAATTTACTACCTATACTATAGCAGTTCCAGTGTGAGTTTGTTTTTTTTTTTAAATCTGGATTGGGATTGCGTTATATCTGTAGTATGCTTTGGGTAGTGTTGACATTTTCACAATGTTAAGTCTTCCTATCCAAGAGCACGGTATATTCTTCCAATTTTGTAAGTCTCATTTGGTTTCTTGTAGTAGTGTTTTGTAGTTCTCTTTGTATAGGTTGTTTGTTTCTTTGGTTACATTTATTCCTAACTATTTCATCCTTTGGGTGGCTATTGTAAATGGTATTGCTTTCCTAATTTCCTTTTCAGTACTGTCATTACTAGTATAGAGGAATCCATCTGATTTTTTTATGTTGCTCTTGTACCCTGCCACTTTGCTGAATCTTCCAATGAGTTCTAGTAGTTTTTTTGTTTTGTTTTGTTTTGTTTTTTTTGGCTGAATCTTTGGGGTTTTCTACATATAGAATCATATCATCTGTAAATAGAAAGAGTTTTACTTCCTCTGTCAATCTGGATGCCTTTAATTTTCCTATCTTGCCTTATAGCTCTGGCTAAGACTTCCAATACAAAATTGAATAGGAGTGGTGATAAAGGGCATCCTTGTCTGGTTCCTGTTCACAAATGGAAGGTTTTCAGTTTCTCTCCATTGAGAACGATGTTGGCTGTTGGTTTTGTATATATTCTCATTATGTTGAGGAATTTTCCTTTAATTCCTACTTTGTTGAGTGTTTTTATCAGGAATGGATGTTGGATTTTGTCAAATGTCTTTTCTGCATCAATCAATATGATCATGTGGTTCTTTTCCTTTTTCTTTTTTATATGGTGGATAACGTTGATTGTTTTTCTAATGTTGAATCATCTTTGCATCCCTAATATGAATCCATCTTGGACGTGATGTAGTATTTTTTTGATGTGCTGCTGGATTCTGTTGAGTAGGATTTTGTTGAGAATTTTTGCATCTATGTTCATGAGGAATACTGGTCTATAACTTTCTTTCTTACTGATGTCCTGCCCTGGGTTTGGTATGAGGGTTATGTTTGCTTCATAGAACGTATTTGGAAGTTTTCAATCCTCCTCTATATCCTGGAATAATTTGAGTAGAATTGATGACACCTAGTCCCGGAATGTTTGGTAAAACCAGTGAAACCACCTGGACCTAGACTTATTTTGGTTGGAAATTTTTTGATGAGCTGATAAGTGTATATTTTTAAAAGATTGCCTCTTATAACCATGAAGAGGGTAAAGAGAAGACACAAAGAAATCTTGAGAACATAAACCTTCATAGTTGAATAGAAGAGTTGCTTATTTAAAAGTTTACACGTTACATATCAAAGTTACCACAATGCATTGTGCTTCTAGTACTGAAATATGACTCTTGATAAATTTGAAGGGATCTCTCATTACAACGCTTACGTAAGGATTCATATGAAATCCACTTTTTTTCACTACCCGTGATTTGTTTGTGTATTTTGTTTGGTTCCCAAATACCCCCTAGAAGGTGATTAACAAAAGTTAAGAATAAAAATGTTTCCATAAAATAAATAGTCAGATTTTGTATCTGAGTCCTAATGACTATGCAGAAACACTGTTTAATAAACTTTTATTTAAATTAAAATACTGAGTTTATTTCACATGTATATTTCGGTCTTCCCACCATTTCTATTTGTCTGATCACAGCTACTACTATGTTGTCTCATAACATTCCATACATACTTAGATCCAAGCCAAGGGTGGAGAGCCATCTTTACAAACTAAACAGGCATTCTGGACAACACATTTTTGGCAAAGGAACCTGAACATTTATCAGATATAATAGGGAAAGTTCTCACACTGCATAACTGTTTAAACCATTTTCTTAAAGAGACTTCCTCCATTTCCAGAGATCTCGAATAGCCTCCTGGCCCATCATCTGGACACAATTCTTCACATGATTGATGAATTTGTCTTCCAATTAGGAAGAGAGCTACTTTTTATATACTTGTTTGCATTTTTGCTTTAATGTCTTGTACAGAACTAGGTCCTTTTAGTGTTTTGGAGTTTTTTCCTGTTTCGTGAAGGATTATTGACATTTTGATCTTGGTGTTGATGGTTTTGAGTCTTTTTCCGTTCTGGTTTGATTTCTCACTGGAGAAATCCCATATGGATTTTAGCATTGGAGCCTTTTCTTCAGTTTCATCATCATCAAAATCACCATCATCATCATCGTCGTCATCATCATCATCATCTTCATCTTCACCAAGTTATACTGTTTTCTGTGGAACCTTATTATCACATACAGGGGGCGATCCTTTTCCTGATATATTTAAGAATTTTACATCCTTCTCCTTTTCATCATCTGACACTGTATCTTCCTCCACAGTTACTAAGTGCTGTCTACTAATATTCACAAGTCCTGGCCACACTTCAATTTTAAGACCAAAGGTGGCATTATTTCAAAGCCCCCAAGAGAGACATTTTCAAAGTTGCCAGTGTTACTTTAATGGGACTACCTTCATAATTCATTGTCTCTGCTTCAACAATGTATAATTCATCTTTTGCACTAGCACCTAAGCTGACTGTTCTTAAAGGTAACTGGTGCTCATTTTCGTCATGGCCCACCTTAAAGTGATCATCTTTGTCAGCTTTTAGTTCACAACTGAAAAGATCGTTCTGGGGGCCTCAGAGGGCTCATGTCCCTATCCGTCGAATCCTCCATCAGATGGGGGTGCAGTCTCAGGTAACAGAGAAGAAGTACCAGATAACCGGCTACTGTTACTGAAAACAACAGTGTGGAATGGAATCACACCAGGGACTTTAATAACTGCTTAATGCAAATGAAATATTGATATAGAACATTGACAGAAAGAATGTCAAAGCCTTGTGACTCTGGAGGTTGAATGATCATTACCAGTGGCATAAAGGACACTTACCTGACTAAAGCGAGTCTTGGCCAAAGCAATGAGCTCCTGGTCCCCAGGGGCACAGATGTTCAAGCCAATGGGCAGCAGTCGCTTCAGAGCGGCTACGATCAGAGAGGTCTGCATAGAATAGCGGTCTCCTTTCCGTTTCATTTTCTTCCTTTCCTGATCAGAAACAGCGGCCTGTGGAACAAACATCAGTACTGGAACCTAGGTCTGCTTTTCTCAAACTGAGAACTTGCTACCTATGGAGATGAGCCCGATTGGAAGTTTAGAGCCCATTTTCTGTTGTCCGCTCACCCCCATTATTCTCTGTTTGTTTGAAATCATAAAGTTTTCAGAATAATTTGTTTCCTTCTTAACATGTTTAGTCTCATGTTTAGATAACAATCCATTTCTATGTAATTTTTAGAATAAAAATGGATACTATTTTTAAGATAATGATGAATGTCTGAAATACATATATTTATATATGTAAATTACAGGGCTCTGTAAGATAAACCCGGGACTGTGAACTACAAGGTTGGTGATTTGAGCCCACCACATATCCCACAAGAAAAGATGAGGCTTTCTGCTCCTGCAAAGATTTACAGCCGCAGAAACGCTATAGAGGGTCACTATGAGTTGGAAGTGACTTGATGGCAATTAACAACAACAACCATATATATATAATACCCTGATAAAAGCCTTTCTCCTGTAATATAGTACATAAGGCAACAGTGAGTCCGAATGCGCTTGGTGGTCATGTTTGTGTTTGGCTGGTTGGTTGTTTATAGTCTTAGCTCCTGAGAGACTCAGTCTTTCGCTAATAAATTATTGTTATTGTTTTCAGGTGTCGTTGAGTCGGTTTCAGTATAGGAATTCTGAGGAGCAGTTGGTGAGTTTGAAACTCTGACTTTGCGGATCAAACTGACCTGACAGTCAAGTGCTTATCCTACAGCACCACACCAGGACTCCTCTAATAAGTTAGAAGTATCAATATTAATCAGTGTTCCTTAAATACACAGGAAAATATGTATATAGAGTCCTGGTGTGGTGCTGTAGGATAAGCACTAGACTACAAGATCAATTTGAATCACAAAGTGAAGGTTCAAACCCACCAGCTGCTCCTCAAAAACCCTAAACAGAGTCATTAAGAATCAGAAACAACTTGATAGCACTTAACAACAACAACATGTGTATATAACTGAGTAGGTCTTGCTACTTCAGAGTTCATTTTGTGATTTTACTAAAGATTACTCTGGTACCAAGAGTCACGTCAAATGAGAGTGTCTAAATTTAGTTAGTAGAGAAACATCTAGTTAGTCATATGGCACGCTCTGATGTCAAAATTAAAATAAATCTCCCATGTCTATTTCTTTGTACATGTATAATTTTTGAAGGAATAATTTGAGCTAGGGAATATTTCAAAGATAATGACATGAAGTATTAAAATGACTACTTAAAGAGACTCAGGCTATTAATAAAAGCCCCGTACATCTGCCATTTTGTCGTATTGTTTATTGTTGTGATGCCGAAAGCTATGTATGCCACTGGTGTTTGAAATATCAGCATGGTCACCCATGGTGAACTGGTTTTGGTGGAGCTTCCAGATTAAGAACAGACTAGGAAGAAGGAACAGGCTATCCGTTTCAGAAGAATTAGCCACTGGAAACTTACTGAATACTGGTAAAACACTGTCTGAGACAGTGCCAAAAGATGACCCCTCAGATTGGAAGGCACTCAAAATATGACTGAAGAAGAGCTGCCTCCTCAAAGCTGAGTTGACCTTAATGATGTAGTTAGAACAAAATTTTCTGGACCTTCATTTGCCAATGAGGCATGACTAATAATGAGAAGAAATAGCTACAAACATCTGTTAACATTTGGAATGTGTGCTGTATGAAGTATGAATCTAGGAAAACTGGAAGTTGTCAGAAATGAAAGAGTGCAGAAATATCGATAGTCTGTTCTAGGCATTGTGACTATTGTAAATGACGGTCTTAGGTTTATTACATCTGAAAGTGCTCAAAGAAAATTAACAGTTTAGATCTTCTGAAAGTGATATTTTAATACTCAGAAAGGAATTATATTATGCTTACTTTTTTTTTTTGACATTTTCTTTAAAAAAAAAAAAAACTATGATGAGATTCCAGAATAAAAGTAAATAGACTATATCTAAAGAGTAAGTCTTTAGTCTTTAGCATTTTGAATCAGGCAATCATATGGCTTACTATGTTAGGAGTCACAACCTAAAGAGAAAAATGTTCTACAGCTCTGCCTTAAAGCCTTCAGAGAGAACATCGGCCCTGCTGACATCCAGAATTCAAACTAGCAGCCCTGACCAGGACCGTGAGGTAAATGGCTGTCCTTATAAGCCACCCATTCTGCTGTGGCATTCTTCTCACGGCAGCCCTAGGAAACATCTAATTTAGGGGTAATTCAAAAGATAAAGGCATAAATTTCAAAGTGTTTTAAAAGACGTTTCCCCTTCTACAAGCTAAGTAAGACCAAAATAAAAACATGGGGGTGTACTTCCCACTTCATGTGTGAGGAGCTGATATTTATCTGTGTGGTGTTTAAATAATAAAGCTAATTATTTTTAGGTCTACATAGTCATTATATTTGTTGTTATTGTTGAGTGCCATTGAGTTAGTTCCAACCCATAGTGACCCTGTGGATGGTTTCCAAGGGTGGCTGGTGAGTCTGAACTGCTGACCTTGCCGTTCAAACCAAATTTGCAGTCCAGCGCATCAACTCACAGTGCCATGCCAGGACTCTGTGTTTATTATATATAAGTGCCCCAACCAAACCTAATGCCACTGAGTCAATTCCAATTCACAGTGAGCCTACAGGACGAAGCAGAAGTGCTCCATAGGGCTTGTAAGGCTGCAGATCTTTATGGAAGCTTTTCTGCCGTGGAGCAGCTAGTAAGTTTGAATTGCTGACCTTTCCGTTTGAAGCTGAACACTGAACCAATGCACCACCAGCATGTATATATATTCATTGTCGACAGTTTTATAACACTGACTAGTTACACATATAGTATACTAGTTGGCAATTTTGTGAATGTGTGTGTGTATATATATCTATATATAAGGAGCTCTGGTAGCGTAGTGGTTACGAATCGGGCTGCGAACCTTAAGGTCAGCAGTTCAAAACTACCAGCTGTTCTGCGGGAGAGAGATGAGGCTTTCTGCTCCTGTAAAGATTTACAGCCTCGGAAACCCTGTACAGGGTCGCTATGAGTCAGAACCGACTCCATGACACATAACC